CTTTTACTGGTCCTCCAACTGATGTATTTCTGTAATATGGACAATTTTGATATAGATAAAGTGACTGTTACATGTTATTTGGTTTACTTGACTTTTTTTTTCAGAACATTTAGTTATTCCCGTAATTTCTCTTAGTTCTATTTCCCTTTCTGGGGTAGGTTTCTCTTGGTTGTAATAATATTCAGAATCCGTTATGCTAAGGAATCACCACATGATTAGTAGTGACCTACTATGAATGGTAATTTTCTGAGTTCTACCTAGAAACCGTGACCAACAAAATTTGAACATGTCGGGGGTGAGACATATATTACAAATATCAATAAATGATGGTCACACAATGTCAAGAACTGACTGACTCTTGGATCCCAAGGGAGTGATCAGACAGCTAAGTGCTTAAGAGGATTAATCAAAGTTATGGGTTCAACCGTTGGTTTAGTCGTGTATGTATGTCACTGAATCATCTCTCATAAAAACGACGATCTGTCCTGTACATCTTGGTTTTCGATGGTCATCCAACAAAAGTCAGTCAATAAGGTTAAGCCATACATATTATAAAATAAATCTATAACCACATGAAATGTTTTTAACCATCAAAAGTCACCAGTATAGTGAAAAATAATTTTGTTTTTTTAGTGGCATCAAATTTAAAAGTGTAAAAGCATTCTCAAATATGAATCACACGTCACTCAATGTTCAAGCTAATTCTAAAACTGGTAATAAGTACTATGAAGCAAGAGATTGTATTTTCAATTAATAAATAAACTAAGAGAACCACTAACAACTATCTCATTGAATAGTGTCTCTATTCTGGTATCTTTGTTGTTTATCAAAGCATTTGCAATATTCAGATGAATCCCTAAAATGATTTTGTGTATGGTCTACACAGGTGAAGTCATGTAATACGATAAATAAATCATGTCTTAAGAAATCAAGTGGTTTCTAATAATAAAATAGCTTCAAACTAATGTGTTTTTTTTAAAAGAATTGGTCTTGTTCATTACAAAAGCACTGAAAGTAATTGATTCCAGCATATCAAACAATCTAATATCATCTAATCCCTGACTGAATTTTATCCATTAATTTATAATCCACCTATTAATTGAATGATCAACGATTGTGATAAACTATATTTAACTTTAGATGGTAGGGGTTAGAAGGCAGTAATCATATTAAACATTAGTCTCCTCGTGATTTTGAGCATATTTTGTCAATGAATGTTATCTATAACTGAATCTATTTTTCAGGAAATTCACCATTTCTCAGTAACTGGTTTAAAACAAAACACATTTTAATGTTAGATAATAATGAAGTATTAAACCTACAAGCATCTGATTTGTAATAAAAATATATAACTAAATAAATCAAACATTTATTTCTGTATAGAAGTCTTTTGACCTTTTATTACAAAACAAGAAAATATACTTTTCAAAGTAGAAAAGATTGAAAATTCATTTATCCATTTAAATGACTATTACTGTTATTGTTATTATAGTTCATTAACATTCATAATAATAAAAATAATGTTAAATTTTAAATTATAACCAAGTCCTGAGAAGAAAGTAATTTTATGTAAAAAAGAAAAAAAAGTGATTGATGACAGGAAGTTAATTCATTTACTTTATGAAATACAAATCTATATTACTTGATATAAAAAAAAAATAAAATAAAATAAAATTTTAATCATGCAATTAATAGCAAAGATAGTTAATGACCTTTCTCTAGTTATAAGTTTAACATGACAACATTTTTAGTTATAACAATAATCAGAATATAAGTATATAAAATACAAAAATTTTGAATATCCTTTGGTATTTTTTTGATTTCAACATATAACATGATCATAACTATGAATTAAGCGTTCTTATTAGAAATAATAATAACATAAACAGGAAAATTCTCCAGGTGGTAGACAAGGTTTTGCTCAAAGTAGAACAATAAATTTAATTCTACATGAATGAAAAAAGAGAAGTGCTTATTTACAAAAGAGTTGAATAGTCTTTCTGAAGAAATACAACTCTTCAGAATGTTGTGTGTATAGGCATAACGGAGGTAGAATATGAAATTTCAGAGTCTCGTGCTGTTGTCGTTCCATCTATATCGTTGAATCAGAATCCAATGGTCCACATTTCTTATCTCAATGAACCCGTGAGACAACATAACAATCTAAGTGTTTGAATTCCTCCAATTTCAAAGTCTTACTAGGAAGTCAGAAATTTATCTCGATATTGGGCATCAGTAAGCATGACTACCGTAAAACCATCACAAGAAATATTAAAAGACGTCGTAAACATATTAAATTCAACAGAAAATTATTATTTGTTTATCCATAAGTTTTTCGCACGAATATTGGAGAATTTTGACATAATTTTAGTAATCATCATCTCATATTATCTTCACGATTATTAATTTGTAATTAAAGAGAAGTTCTAGAAATGTCTACTTTTCAAAAATTCGTGAAGTATTAATCGACTGATTGTATAATATTTTGTAAACACAGAAAAGTATTAGAACTTACGAAAGGTATGTGTACACTGTAGCCAATTTTTCAGAAACAATAAAAATCAAGAGTTGTTGTGGTTGGATATATAAACTGTTGGATTTCCGTTCATCGAATAGCCTGAAGCTCAATCATCTAACACGCATATAGGTACTGCTAAGAAATACTAAACCAAGACAAAATAGCTGTCTTGAAGCCTTTCACTTATGGCTATGTCCTCAGTTGCTATCAACTAATGACAAAATTCAACTCTGAACAGTTTGTGCCAAAAGGTTAGTGGTTTGCGTTTTAACTCCTTTGTTAGCATATCTGAAGGATAGTTAAATTGCAGTTTGCTTCGAAGATGCAACTTTCTTGCCCTGAGATTCTTTTCATTTTAATCATTTACGTAAATGAGCGATTGGGAGTTTGTTTTTAAACTCTATTTTTCTGAATGAGTATAAAAAACAGGTCTTTCTACTGCACTATGTGCAGCGGTTTCGAAAGTCTGCTCTTTATAAACGTACTTAACTTCGCCAGCAATCATCCAACCGTTCCTGATTTTGTCATAAATTGATCAGTTTCATCAGTTCCTCATTAGCATGTGATTGAAATATAGGATTTCATCTTTTTGAAATCTTTTCCTCATTATTCGGAGTTTTAATGAACCATATTCTTTAGAATTGAGGAAACGATTCCAACTAATCAGTTAAAATTCATATGTTAACTCCTGGCCTTGATCGCCACTCGTCTTAACAGAGAAAAGATTGTGTGAATTTTGTTGATTGCGATTAATTGCTCGCAAGCCTGAATTATCATCACGAAATGTTTACAGTGAGCGAATATCAAAAAGCAGAATAGTGGGTCAGTTAAAATAAGTCGTTCTATATGACAGAACTGAGAGCTTATGAACAAAATCATTGACACAAAGTAAACATAAATAACTGTAAGATTCGTATTTCATAAGTCCGATTATCAATGTTTTTCTTATTTATCACAGTATCTGCTGCTGATACTAAATTTGCTAAAAGTCTAAATTACTGAAATGTGTCTACTTGCTAGGAATGCCTTCAGTTATAGCATCGAGTGACAAGTTCTGGAACTACATTATATCAGATAATAAATATGCCTCGTTGACGAATGTGGAGTTGCATTTAGTTCAGTTTTAATGTGTTCTGTAAATTATTTTAAACCATCTGAAATTACCTGTTCAAATATCATTGTTGTATACAGTTTAAAATGACACTGGTAAATAGTAACTAACATCATACTGGTTAAACAGAGCTGATTGAAAATAATATTTATTTCCCAATTTATTAGGTGTTGACAAATAAACCAGTTGAATACTAATCATTTGAAATGTACATTTAACTGGGATATGTAGGCTATACATGTTTCCGATCAAGGTTTTAAATATTTCATTAGCTTTACTCATTACTTTCTCGTATGAACAACTGACTCACTGGGACCATATTTTTTTGAAAATACATCTCTTCAAATATCTTTAGTCTTATCTCAAATAGTATGAAGTGATAAGATTTAATTATTTAGTTGAAGCATATATTTAGTTGCTCTTTATTCAAAATTTATATCAAGTTTCAAACAATGACCATTCATCACGAGATCTAAAAATGAAAGTTGTATATTAAATAATGATAAATAGCTTCATAACTTAGTTACAAATGCTCGTGTTTTATTTATATCTTTACTTGTAGTAAGTAGCTTGAAGAACAAAATACATTTGCTCTTTTAAATAAAGAAGGAAATATTTCATGTATTTTGTAGATTTTTGTTAACTTGCTCTACTTAATTAGTGTTTTATTAATCTACTTAACAAAAACTTCTAAATAAAATGGATAGAATTTCTACTTTCAAGATCTAAAGTTATTGATTGTGTTTTATGGAGATATGAATTTCTATTTAGATAATTTACGATTGAGATGTCACTAAACATGATTTAATGCGCAGAAATTGACCTCATTCCATATTCACATATGTGACATTTCAGTTTCAACAGGAACTTTTATAGCAATTTATACATACAGAATTTTAATCAATTTATGTTTTGTTAACAATTATAAAGATCATACACTGGTGAATATTTTAGTGAGTAACACTTGTAATCTAAGATAATTGGTAGCCTGTTACTTATATTGGTCTTACAACTGGTTTTTGTCAAAATATTTCCATTATTAAACTGATAGACATTTTGTGAGTAAAATTCAAACAATTTCATCCAGTAAATCGATATGTATATCCTTAATTTATTTTCACATTGACCTGTTATGTAATCTTTTCCTGATACCTGAAAACGTTTTCAATCACTTTATATAATGGAAGAATTTTATATTTTATAATAGGCTTAAATATTCTAAATAACTATTAACACAATTGTAAAGATTTGGTAAATGATATCGCCTTAAAGAGAGAATTTTCTTCACTGATTTGTCTTGATTTTGTTTTCAATAACTTGTTAGGTTTGTTTGGATCCAAATTTCATTACTATAATAAACATCCTTTGTTATACATTTTATGAAAAAGAAATATATTGTAAGTAACATTTTGATGCAACATACAAATATGATCAATATCTAAAGGCATTTTTCTTCTTGGTTGTTATGGCTTTTACGAAACGGTAAAATAAGCACGTTTTTAAAATTATGCTGCATTATTCAATGTTTTTCTTTTAAAATTCAGTTTAAATTAGACAGATTAAAAATGATTACAATAAATTTTGATTATTCAGTGTATTTTATTTTAATCATACATAGATTTCTTTAGTTTTTTTTTAAAAAAAGTGACACTGTCAGTTTATCATTTACGATAAATATCCCATAGACTAGGTAATTCGTCCATTTCTTTGTAGATTGTTGGATGTGAGTTTCGTTTACCGAAACGAAATATTTGTCGACGTTTATAAGGTGCGATTACACGACTTCGAGGATTATATTCTGAGGAATCCCACGGTTGTAATGAATTATTATCTTCTGTAAAAAAACGAGATGTGAAGAAAAAGAACATTAACATTATTAAACTGGCAGAAAGTTGATTTGATAAATCATAATCATAACACTAATATCAGTAAAGCTCATTTTCAAGGATTGAAAACATGTAGTTTTGTTTTTATTATGAAATGGTTATGAATTCAATAAGTAAAATTCATATATGAACAGATTTCGAATGGAAACTGTTTTATTATGATTGTAAATTATATTCAGACTATGATAAATTAAAAATGTCAAATAATCCGAAGTTGTCTTATATGTAAATCCACAAGACTTCTAGATATTTGAGTAATTGATATTAGCAGAATACACAATAAGTGTCTGATCTCATTTAGGACTTGTCTATTGTATACTCATACAACCAAATGTTATTCTTCGTACTATAAGTTTGATTATTTACTCGACTTCGTAACGACTCACATGAACCACAAACTTTTGATTGGTATGATATTGATCGTAATTTGTAGCATTCCGTATTTCCTCCTTTCTGATATTCATGAAACACATTTTAAATCCCGCAATCAATCACTATCCATGATATAATCGATTTGTATATATGGACTTTGTCAAAATATTTATGCTAAGAGATTATATTCCAATGATTATATATCATTTCAATCCTGAATATTATATTACAGAAATATGCAAGCTTTATAATGGAGTAACTTTTAATATATTTCTCATTATCGGTCCAAGCTAATAAATATTTTTGCTATGAAAATTAGATCGTTTTCAATGACTAGTTAACGTGTAATTTTACGGCTTTAGAGTGAATTATCTGAACAATTTCCAGCTAATTACTTACTTTTTTAAATCCGGTTTATAGATCTGGAATTGACTAAAAATGTTGGAATGATCAGCATGTAGTGTATACATGAATGAAGTTGTAGAACCAATCAAGTTTAATGTTTGATCATGGATTCTGTAAAACGTGAACTTATATGGATCAAATAGGAGATAATAAATGTCTGTTGAGTGCTAAATAAGTTGTTCAAACACATGAAGATTATATCACATAGGTTTTAATGAGGTTGTTTACATGAGGTGTGTAGGATTATGTTATATTAAGTATAAACTATCTAATCATTGGTTACAAATTCAGCTAATGTAGAAAAGGAGGATGGGTCTATTCTGAGATTTGAAGCCCAGTGAAAAAATAAGTTTACAAACATTTATATTCAGTATTCGAACCATTTAAACTCCTGCAAATTAAGGTATTTTCACCATAGCAGAACTGTATTTTAGAACAAGTAATATTTTATTAAATTTAGAAAAAGTGAACAGTATCGAGACTGGTGCTGTAGTCTGAATAGTGTAGTTATATCCAATAATGAAAGGCTATTGGCAATATAAAAAACATAGCACGGTACATAAAAGTTTCCATTAACGCTTGTCATCAATAAGCATCAAAATCGCATCCCATTAAGCTGGTATAAAGTCATCAATAACTCGTGTAGAAATCGCTGTACAAATAAGTAGGGTATCAATACACCCAAATTAATAACAATAAAGCCCTCAGAGGTCATTTACTTTCAGATAGGATTCCTAAGGTATTATTAGGAGATCTTGATATATGGAGTCGACCAGGTCGGCAGTAAGATGAGGGTTTACAAAAAGATATAGAAAGCTCGAAGCTACAAAATATTGATTATTGGACCCAAATTTCATAACTGACGGTACGTGTTCACTAAAAAACGTCAAAATCACATATTCAATCATGTTTGGCACTAGAGTTGTGGACGTTTTGAAAATTTTGTTGACAGAACCATTGTTTATTGCTTCTTTATTCTTCAATTAGTGTCAGTTGATGATGAAAAATATAAAGTATCGTTTCTAAACTCCTGTTTTTCTTTTCGTGTAATAAGTAGTTATACTAAAATAATCTACAGCATAGAACCATAAAACCTAAGCAGTTATAAAAAGAGACAAAAGCCTTAAATTAAATTACAAACTGATCTGGGACAGATAATATAAGGACAGTTCTGAATAACTGACTAATATCACTTATTAAACTTTAATAGTGAACTAAAAAGCTCTAATTTAGGCTAGAATAAATACATTAGTTGGACTTGTGTCTCCTGTATATCATTCAATGCCAACAAATATTATTGTATATATACTTAGGATAAACAGTAATAATTTATTTTAGAGTGAACTATAGTTTGACGCACAATTCAATGCTGTAAATTACCTTACAATCGTATTTTTAAACAGGACAAATAAGTATTTGGTTTCTTTTTAAAAAGTTTCCATTCTCAAACATTCATATATTTTTATCTGTAAAACTGGTACTCTGACAATGGATTCTTAAGAAGAAATAATCCAAAATGTTCCTACTTCTTTCTGATTAACCTTTGGTAACAAAGAAATCAGTTGCATTCTTCTAACCCACTTAACATATCCAGTAATCATTTAGTGACGGTACAATAGGTATCATTTAATTATGAACTGAATTTTACTAGTGCATTTATGGAAAGTCTTGTCAGAAGTAAACGTCTCTCATTGGCCCATTTTGTCTGAATTATTTTCAATCTGTAATCAGTTCGTAAGAAAAATGTCATTTAAACAAAATAATAAAGCTGGATTCTGATCAGTCATTGACAGAATATCGATGAAAAGTCAACAAACAAAAGTATGGGGGTTTTTCATATTTCTTCCGTACTTGAAAAAGCATATTTCAGAAAACAGTAAATAACATTTTCTTTTTATTGTCAACAACTATGTATACTTTTCGTTTTGTTCACATCTGTTTAATGTACTACTTACTGTAACTAACGTTTTAATAAGTTTAGTAAAATTATTTAACACCCATTTATGCATTAAATATGTTTCCAATAGAGTTTGCTTTCAACTACTATCAGTAATGATATTCAGAAATGAATTAGAGTTCTCTCTTTTGAATGACACTCATTATGACATTAATTCAAGGTAGAAATTCTACTTATCATCACTAAAAAGAGAACTGAAATATCCTAAACATTTAATTTAGTTTAATGACATCTTTGTTAAGGATTAAAATACTTTTCAACATAATTTTTGTAACTGTTGAAGCAGTTTGTGTTTCCAAGCAGTGAACATGAAATGCTTATTTATAAATCGAAATGTCACTTTCATGGACTCCTTTTAGCTAAATACTCATTCAAAGTTAAGAATGAATGAATATCTATCCTATTATGGTAGTGCCAGATTACTACAAGAACCAGGCTTAATATATGTATCCGTCATTTATGTACACAGATAATAAATGTTTTACCAAAAAATGAACCGTTTTTTAACCAATTATAGCTAGTAAGTTGATAATCCTCCATTTTATTCGAACAAAAATAAACTTATCACTTTTTCTATAAATCTAACGAAAGAAAAAAAGTTTTTCAACCTGCTTGATAAGACTGTGGGAGATACTTAAAATATACAGTATGTTTCTGATTATAAATTAATGAAGGAAAATATATTTTGTTTTAGTCAGCTGAATAATTGAAAAAAAAAGTAAAAATAAAAATATTTTCGATTATGTTCATATAAGCAATTTATTTTCATTTGGACAACAACCTTTTTTCCTCCTGCAAGCAAATTTCTCCCTATCCATAAATCACTTCTCAAGGAAATATATATATATATATATATATATATATATATTATAGAACAAACTTAGGACTTATGGAAATGTTATTGTTATTGTTAGGAAGTAAATAATAAGTTCTCATGAATAAATATCATTTGATGATAAAACTGTTGAAAGTAGTTATGGTTCAATTTATTAGTAAATAGCTCAGAGTTATGATATAGAATTTTTTATATACGATAACATTTAAACAATGATGAATCTATTGATGAAAGCACTTCATTTCACACTGAAATTAACAAATATAACAACTGGTAGCATTTAGTCTTATTTAAGACTCGTCAGTTAGATGTACCTGCATTTTAGAGTTGATATTCAGCCCCTGAGAATTGAACTTGAGAAGATTCAAGCAACCAATGTAAAAATGAATTAAATACAACAGCTGTTTGTTTAGACTAGAAAAAACTTATATAAATTGGAGGACTGCCAAATGTAATGGTTAATATTAACAACTCGACGAAATTTGTGAACTGTGATATGGTTGAATCTAAATCATTTGATATAGAGTAACTGTGAATTAAGTCAATAAATAAATGATCAACTTCACCTTACTGATTACTAACTAGTACTTTTGAGAATTATAATTAATGTGATCTTCCAGTTGTTCGCTTTATCTAAGTAGACAGGAACTCACATAATATTATTTGATACGTAAACTTTCAGAATATAATGGGCTATCACATAATTCAACCACTAAATTTAACAGAAATTACAGAACGTAACCAACTAAATTTGATACATGTCTATGTAACCATTTTGTACTAAAAAGTTTCAATGAATACTATTTTTGCATATTTTCTAGTTAATAACTGCCTCCATTCGTCTACAACTTTGGTACAAATAAGCATTTATATTTTTGTTTGCCTACCTATTTCATAATATGATTTATCAAACTATACTGGGAATGAGACATAGTGTTTAAATCTGTCTAAATTTATGTAATATTCCTTCAGCTGATCCAAGCAACTACCCATAATTATTTGGAGACTATTATACAATACTTGGTATTAGAGATAATAGAAAGCAGCTACTCTGAATTATATACTATTTAGAACCCATCAACACATCACATTAGTAAAGTTAACCAAATTATAGCTTTTCAGAAATGTTGAACTACTCCGTTGATGCTAAGTTAAAATTAACTAAGGGGATACACCAGTAAGATGTAGCAAACATCTGATTGATCACTACCAAGGGATTGTTCGGTGAAATGGTTTCAGAATAATATCCAAACTTAAGTACATAGTGTTTGTGTTACGACGTCTTTATGTAAACACATAAAAAACCTCCAAATTACGCTGGTGAAAAAATAAATTAATATTTATTTGAAGAAACGTTTGTACATGACATGAATAGTGAGAGGTAATTAAGAATGAATTATACTGGTAATTATATTGTGTTTATGTAGAATTCATTCATTTTGAAGCATTTCATTATATACACGATTAATGTGCCTTATATTAATTAAAAAACTTTTCAAAAGAAACTTATGATTTAAGGATTTGATCAGATCCTCGAATTCTTCATGGATGTGTATCGAAAAGATTAGAGTATAATACTTAAAATTTTGAATGACTTAAACATCAACAGTAAATAAACTGAATGAATCTATTACGCGAAGTTTATTTCCTGTTAAAGATTTTATTCTGACACTTGGATTTTTTGGCAAAACATAAAGTATTTCACGAAGTGTGGAAGGTTCGCTGATGTTTTCATGGCTTTGTTAGCGCTGTTTTTACACAAGCGACGTTCGATTGATTTTCCTTTACTAATCATTTTTAAGTTAACTGATCAAGTTTTTTTCTCATAATCACTCAACTGGATAACTTATAGAACATACCTATATATAACTGTGTTGTTCGATTTTTTTGAAGAAATGTCAATCATATTCAGGAACGAAAACAAATAGACCATTTACAAGTTCATAATCATTTCGTTTTGTAAGTATGAAATGTGAATTCCACGAGGCCTATCATTCACGTTCGCATAAATTTTACAATTGAAGCTCTCAATAGAATGTACTACTCTGTTTATAAAACCGTAAAACCAATTGTAATCAAAGTTTTCCTAATAAAATTCTGAATACAGAAATCATCTGTTGACTCTACATGCGAAGACGTTACCAATGGAGTTCCACCAGGTCTGTTGTAAGAGATCGGCTTACTGAATACAATGATGTACAGTGGCGCGATTTCGTGGATTGTTTGAAGTTAGACATTGACACGGTTGGATGCCGGTCGGCTCAGTGGTCTAGAGGTTAAGCGCTCGCGTGCGAGATTGATAGGTTCTGGGTTTGAATCTCGCGGGGGGCGGGATCGTGGGTACGCACTGCTCAAGAGTCCCATACTAGGACAAAACGGCCTTCCAATGCTTTCAGGGTTTCCATGGTGGTCTAGCTTCAATTGACTCATGATTTCAACTATTGAAAAATAAATATCTTCTTAAATGCTCTTTTTCAATATGTTACATGAATAAGACCAATAAAATCATCACTGATCACAAATTTTTTTCTAATCATACAATTTATTTATGTATCAAATTGAGTTTCTTAATGTGAAAAAAGTATTTAGAGATATTATCATCACAGTAAAACTAAAACAATCCCACCTATCTTAAGTAATAAGTTCTAAATTTAGAAACAATAATTAAACAAATGAATGAACACCGGAAAACGAAGTGAAGAAGTTTTTAGGATTTGGATATTTTGTCTACCCTAAAATATACTACTTATTTTAGACAGTTCTGAAAGGATCATTCATATATCAACGTGTATTAGATTAAGAACCGGGGAAATAAGTCAATATACAGTTTCTGTTTTTGACATCACCTGCATATACATATATTACCAGTAAGCATTAACCTGCTGTTTCATTCTAGATTATTATTTACCGGTACCATTCACTTACGACAACCTTGAAGTAGTGTGAAACAGATATAGTTCAGCTAGTTTATTCTCATAGCAATGTCTATTTTTAAGAACGAATTAATTTTATTAATCCGTCAAGCCAAAAAAAGACAAATCTAAAATTTGACATTATTCACCAAAATATTTGTTTCATTACTTAAAAGTGATACATATTCTCAAATGTTATCTGATCAATAAATGTAGACCAATTAATGATTTCTCAAACTACTGAGAAACTACAGCATTTAGATACATTTTCGCTCTTTTTTCTTTTCCATTCAACTTAATGTTGAAATGGTATCAAAACAGCATTTTGATAAGAGCCGTTTACTTATTAACCAAATTAGACGTTTGTGCTTTTGATTTAATAAAGCATATATATTTTTATCCTTTTAAGTAAACTTGGATATTAGCTAGCAGTGAAATCCAGGACCTCAAAGAAACAATGTTCAAACTTCAGTTCATAATATTAACACGAAGAAAATACAAAAAATTAAGAGTAAAGATCTATTAATTTTACAGTCTTGTTTTGAACCTTCGACAGTTGAAGTACATTGAAAACTGGACTTAGTTTAATTTAGCAAACCAAACAAACAAGATAGGAGAAACTTTTCACATATAACCAACTACAGAAATGTTTCTGTGTAGTAATTACAAATGGACGTCCGATGGTATCATTATTTATACGTATAATTTAGCATGTTTAGACTTCTGAATTTATTTAAAATTAGAAATACCACTATGCTTTAGCAAAAACTATAGTTCGACCTACCTTCACAGGAAACTTCGCTTAATATATATAGACTGATCAATAAATGTAGTGCCAATTTAATCATTCTGAAATAAAAATATAAAACAATTAAGGAAATATGATTATAGTGCATGAAAGCATTATAATAACTTAATAAATTAAAACCAGAAATAAATCATTCATGAATTAATTAGGTTTATTGAAAATGGAACCTAACGGGTTATTCCCTTAAGAAAATATTTATTTTCAAATCCACTATGCTTTAATTATTTTTAGAATTTCTTTTCAATATTTCAACATTTACAAACACATTGTTTCCTAATAATAAGGTGACTGAATGGATGACGTTGTGTCTTAAGACTACATTACAAACAGTAAATTTGAAATTCTAAGACAATATATCCGATTTATGGATAAACAGGAGACCTCTTTGGTCGAAAATTACTCTGTACAAAACATAATATAGGGTGAAAAAGAAAAAAATGATATAGGATGAATCTCATCATAATTGAGTTAAATAAAATATCTCCTTTAAGGAGATTCAGCTGTTCCACTGAAGAAAGCTATACTGGGCGCACAACCAGACAACTGAGCCAACCAGTTAGTGAATGCCTCCTTTGGTGGTTAGGAACTGGCATCGTTTAAATAATATGCATGTCCGATCGTTAGCATTCATGTAATAGACTGAAATAGATCGTCTCTTACACATAACAGAAGCTATGAGGATTCGGGCTAACAGTTTAAGTCTTTGTATCCATAAGAAATTGTAACAACCATATATCTTGTTTGGCCGAATAAACACTAATATACGATTTTATTCATTATTATTTTCCATACTCCTTGATTGTTCATTTTTCTAAATCTGAACATTTCGTATTACGTAATTTTAGTAATTTTTAATTAATGTTTATTCAGTGTCTTTTTCAAGTCATTTATAAACATCTTATCAAGAAACACTGATTCAAGCCTTTATTATTCTTATCAGAATTAGTACACCTGTTATTACGTTATCTATGTGTACTTTTCTTCTTATCACGTTTATTTATATAATCTATCCCACTGACTGATAAACTACCTTGATTAGTTTAATAATTTCGTACATGCATACTAATATTTATGTCAATTAGAGTAAATCCTGATTATAATCTAACTGAAAACAATATTATTTACTTTTATATGTTAGGTCCGTATACCGTATAAAGTAACTTTATGTGAAATTATTTTCAATGAAAATAGATGTAAGGCTTATCCGTATCTGTTTGTAAACACAGCACAGTTTATTAGTCCATCAAAATGAGAATTAATAAAGGACATCTTACGACTGTTCTATTTTTAAGGTTGTATCTTTTACCATACCTGCTAAAATGTGATAACAAACATCGTTCGATGCACATTAAAAAAATAGAATGATTTATTTCACTTCGAATATTACATTGAATCCTTGGGATCATATGTGAATTTAGTCTTATTTCAGACTATACTATAAACCACTCTGTCTACTTTAACATAATTGCTTTCAAGTGTAGCTCTGCTATTACGTTATCTCTTCGTTCATGCTTAGCCTCATGAAAACCATATAGTTTAGTGAGGAAATTTTGTAAGACGTGTCTCTTACAACGGCTTGCATTCCATAAACATATTTCGTATTAGTCACCTGAAGAAACCAACTTCACACAGAGATTTATATTGATAATTATATCTAATTTTAATTACGTTTCAGAAAATAAAAGGCCGTTTTTATTGTAGTTTAAATGAACAATTATGATACATAAATGACTTCAATTGTACATGAAATCTCATGTCGTTTTATTCTAGAAAATGTGTTATTTCGTAATTAGTTTCTTCTGTAAGTGTCCAATAGTGTTTGATGTAATTCATTTTAATACATTTAATATTTATGAGACATTTTCGGTGAAACTATAATTTATGGATGACCTTTGAGCAGCGCAAAATGACCTTGAGAATGTCTACCTACTAACTAGGACTAAAAGTGTTATAAATCAATGTGAGGAACTAGAATTATGATTTACGTTTGATGGTTAGTGTTAGGAGTTAGATTTAAGGTTTTCATCACGAACTGACATCAGCTATAATGCCGAAATAGTATTTGGCCAAATGAGTGTATGAATTTTGCGCTAAAATCCGAGACCTGTTATCTTATACCTGATTATTTCGTTCATAAATTATAGTCTCGCCAAATTTTATTATGTCCAGAATAAATTAATATGAAAACGTCACACCAATTTGTAAATGATGAATGAGTCAATTAATTCAAGAGGCAACTATGAAATGTGCCCGTTTATCTTAAATCAAAGTTTTACTCATACTCACATTCCGAACAAATTACATTAGAAACCTTAATTGTTCATACGTGCATATAGCGACAGACTGAAATTGTATATATAATGTCCTCATTTAGTTAAACAAATTATACATATCTATTTCATATAAGATCAAAACTACGAAAGTTCTAATAAAATAACCGCTCAATTTTGATATCTATCTGCAAGACAAATTTACTTTATATGATTAAAATAGTGAATAAAACTATGAAATTTTTGAAATTCACTTGGTATTATTTACTTAAATCTTCTCATTGATGTTTAGGACTACAATTGATCAGTCTGTTTTTTTGGTATATGTGCATACTGTGCGTATTGCATTGATATTGTCTTAATTCACATGCATTACAAGCAAAAATGTATAGTAGCTAGTGAGTTCTGTATTCCACTACTAACCAATATCCATCTTTAGTTACTATGAAATTTTTATTTTGAAATGTATATATATATACATATATACATAATTAACTAAAATATTTTCCTTTCATGTGTGATACTTTTTAAATGAAAAAAAAATTTAATTTTCCCTTTTAAATTATAAAAAAAGAAAAACTATTGATGTTTATCTTAACCAAAAATACAAATATGATACTCAATTTTTTTTCTTTTTATATCATTTTTGGTTGTTTTTAATTAAATGGGAAGTTATGACATGAAAAATAATTGATTCAGTTTTAGGAATTTATTTTTTTGTTGTTTTTTGTTTGAAAAAAAAATAAATAAAAGAATAAATTAAGGTGATAAATGTTATTTGCAGTTGGGGAAAGTAGTTAGGTAATAAAAAGGGAATTTATGAAAAATTCCATTATTAAATGGGTTTATTAAAATCTATATGCTATAAATTAATAATAAAATTTCGATGTGTATCTAGGTAGGTTTTGTTTGAGAACAATACCGACAATTATACAAACCATAGTATTCTTACATAAATAAAGTTATTTTAAGAATGATCAAAGTATGTGAGTAACTTTAGCTATTTATATGTGAGCCTAGAGCCCCTCTGATGCTACTACTGGTCCCAAGCCCAGATAAAGGAGGAGGGCCAGGCATGGGGGTAACGACCTTATCCCGTAGAAAACTAACTCACTAAAAAAACGATAACCAGAATAAATGCAAGTAACTTGTGAGAGGGTGTTAATATTTTAGTACATCAACCTGCATAGATGGTATTTTATTAAAACCTTGTTAAAAATACTTTTTGGAAATGAATTCAATTAATTTCCTATTAGTTCTCACTCATACAAATATCATTGGCGGATTATTCTGATTACTTTATAAATAGTTAATAATAACAACTAAGTACTTGAAGTTTTAGAAAAAACATCTGTCATTTTTAGGTGAACAATAGTATATACATTAAAATGGAGTATTAAGTTTAAAGAAATATGGTTGGACAAGTTGAGTTTATAGTGTATCATGTGATCTAACTACGACATATGTCTAACTTATTTTTATCCATGACAAGTCATGATTACTTAATGTTTCCTTATAACTCGAACAATTATCTAATGTTTATCTATCCATATATGTTGTCATGTATCCGCAAACGTATCAATTTATATTGCACATTTTCTGTAAGGATGTATACTTTGGTTGTATGCATTTATCTGCTTGTTTTTATTATATATTTTGTCTGTTTTTTGTATAGGGATTCATGCTTAATCAGAATGAGTAGGCGTGTAACATCTCTCCCAGCTGCTTCTATTCAATTTTCATTATTGATTCGCCTCCATTGTACGAACGAAATAACTTCAAATACACTGCATCTGATTTTTTTATACATCTGTTATACAATGGGGTTAGTCGTATACATTTAATTGATTCGTAGTTGCTGATCGGTCATGTTTTATGAAATTCGAAGCGAATTAGTTTAAAATTATCCGCACAAATATTCACTGTTTATAGATGTAAAGTTTATCTGTTTATATTAGTAATACCGAACTGATTTCACGTATGTAGAAATACATAAACAGACTATCTGTTTTTTAACTCATCATTGATCAACGTCTATTTATCAATTTAATCATTTGGTAAAATACCTGTAATAATTAAATGCATATACGATAACAGCTTTAGTTATTTGTATGAATGAAATGATTTTACAAACTTAAAAATTCCTTGATATAGTACATTTTCAGGTATAGTTAAGGTTCAATATTATTAAAATTGGATTCTCATTTGGTCAGTTTTACTAAATTAAATAAAGTCTTTTAGTCTACAACTCAAAAAATATATATCTACATGCGATTGAAGTGTGGATGAAAATTTAAAAAACATATTACTGGAATTTTTTTCGCAAACAATGGTTTAATTGGTGGTGACTAAGATTAAGTTATCTAATATTATGTAAACTGACAAAGATAAATATCTGTGAATGTATGACTTTCGATGCATAGTAATATCATTGTACAATGTATTAAAAACAATGGGAGTAAATAATAAGCTTAAGAAGCTTTTTTAAAGGGTAGTCACAAAGTGATGCAAGAAATTTTGGTTTCAGATTTAATGATTATAATGATCTTTTTGTTTCATTACATTGATAATTATAAATTTCATAAATCTATAGAGTCTGAATAACAAACCTTGTGGATGAGAATTAGTTTTTCAATTTAAAATGTAACCATTAATGTGTAAATATTCAACTTATAATCTTTTATTACACGAGAAAAAATCGATATTTTTTCTGAGCTGAATGGTTTGTGTGTTGTATTATCATTGACATTCAAAGAAACAGCTGATATCCACATGTGTGGAAATTTAAATATGTTACATTTTAATTTTATGACATTATTTATATGAACATTAAGACATCAAAGAGCATAAAACCATCAAAATTATCCTCTTTAATTACAAATTTTCTTCTTACTGTCTAAAAGAAATTTCAGTGTTTAACTATGATTGATAGGGTATAACTACATAGCTGTACAGTTACGGCTACACGTGACATACATATTATATTGATATTTACTTTATCTATCCTGTTAACTAGATTTCATTTATAAGGCTGTAAGTAATATTTTGCATAATTGATGAAATATGACTGACAATTCAAAGTCAAATGAAAGAAATTCATCTGCTTTAATTACCATAGTACAAGTCATTTTTTCCTCGTAATTTAAATCAACATCAGCTGTAAGAATGTAGGTTTTAATATTTTTTTCTCAGATACCAGGATATTAAGTGTAACATACTACCATTTCCAAAAAAATCAAGAATGAAGCAATCTATAAAAGATTAATTAACAGAGATTATCATGAATCTAAGCAAGGATATGCCTGTTAATCTAGAACTATAGTAAATTAATCTACATCATGTTTTGGTTTTTGCTTCAAACATATGGGGCACAGAAATGTTCAGTTAATCGATTTAAAATTTTTTTTTCATTCAGTAATAAAATTAGCTAAAACTGAATGTGAACAACAAAAATATTTTATCCTAATATAGCGATTCTGAAGTGGATATATTTACCACTAGATTATACAACTCTTATAACATTATTAGGTGAATGAGTCATGAGATAGGATGATCACATTTTACTGCTGTAGGTGATTTACGGTTTTGATTATAACTTTCTTAAATTATCAGAAATCATTTTTACAAATATAAAGGCAATACCCAAGACATTCCCATGGAATAAAACTATTGTAATATAGAACCTGATAAATTGGAGGATATTTTCATCAACGAAAAATTACATAATCTTACATAGATATTTTTAATTTAATCAGAACCTAATCATATCTTAAAAAATTCATCAGTTGATATCTATTCCATTCCTAGAATAAATAGTAGTAAAACGATGCTTTAATATAAATGAAATAAATAAATCTAATATAGAAACAAAGTTACACATATAAATAAAAAATTTATAAAAGGTTTACCATGTGCCAACTAGTGACTAGTTTCGTGAGGCAATTCTCGGAGTTCTAGTCAGAAGCCATGACCAGTGGAGGTAATCCTTGTCGGGTAAAGAAAGATATCTACCTCAGTGCAATGGAAGATAGTTGTGCAATTTCGTGGATTAGTTGAAGTTAGAAATTAACACGGTTGGATGCCGGCTAGCTCAGTGGTCTAGAGGCTAAGTGTTCGCGCTTGAGACTGTAGGCCTTCAGTTTGAATCCCATAAGCGGGATCGTCGATAAGCACTGCTAAGGAGTCTCACAATAGTGCTTCCAGGTTTTCAATAATGGTCTTACATCAATCGGTTCATGATCTTAATCAAAAAGGTTTTAAGTCTACTAATTAATATTTTCTCTAGATCATACAAAAAGTTATTAAGATGAATTAACAAAAGAATAGAAGTAATCATTTTAATAAAAAATATTTATTCGTCACTTACATAATAATAAAACTTTCTTCTTCCACTGATTATTATTATGTTAAATTATTTATTTCACTGGCTGTAATAATTTTTTTTAATTGAAGTAGATTTCTTCCATATACTACGTTGAATTATCTGAGTAAAGCCATCGCACTGAGTAAAATATATCGGTAATTCGGCTTTTATGATTGGTCAATTTTATCATCCAATAAAAATTTTTTTACTGTAAATATTAGTGATTAATAATTATTACTCATTAAAACTTAAAAACTGTCATTATTTTGTTAAAAAATATTTACATACTTTTTACAATACATTTAATGGAAAGAAAATCATTATAATGAATTTTTACTTGCGCACTTCTGAGGAGTTCCACAATAGGACGAAATGGCCGTCCAATGCTTCCAGGTTTTTCATAGTGGTCTAGCTTCAATTGACTCATGATCTCGACTATTGAAAAATAAATAATTTAAATTTTTTTCAAAGGATCAGTGTGAATAAAATGAAAGATATCAAACAAAAAATACATAAAATCAAATAAGTTTTCTTGTTTAGGTTCTAATATTAGGACCTTTTTCCCGAGAAAGTATGCATTTGATTGATATATGTTCTCTTTCATAAATAATTTAAGCCCATAGATTTTTAAATAAAACTGCATTGAATATTTATAACGAATCTGTTAGTGATCAATACCTACCTGAAAGATCGGTTATAACGAGAAGGTTCGAAAAAAAATTTGGAGTTTACCATGAAATCTTTCTATTTTGGAGATGTTTTCCTAAAACCATTTTAAAGAGAATATGCTAATGAACTAATTTATATATTTTTTCAATTAAATTTAGTGCAAAAATGAGATGAAAGTGGAATTTTATACAAACGCAAAATAGTTGAAAGTAGTCTGAATATAATGTACAATCGCTGAACAATTAATATTCTGTAATTTCATAATTATGAGCATTATAAAATAATTTCAAATACTCATAAGTTAGGAATACTTATATTAATCATAATAAAACACTTATATCCTCATCAATCTTACGATTCTATGAGTTCAGATATTTATCTATTGGGTTTGTTGTTCAATACAAATTAGTTTTTGAATCACTTTTTACAATAGGTCATTTTAAAATCTAAGCATTTTATCTATTGTTATTAGCCTAAACGAAGTCATTCCTTATTATTGAAAGCGTTAACCGTTAAAAACATGGATTTCTCTAACAAATTTGTTATTAAAAGCATGAAAAAATGTGAATAACTCCTATTATTTAAATATAAATTTTCTGTCTGGAATACTGTATTATACGTCATGGATTCGAATGAGTTTTTTTGATAGTAATGACTACACTTTACATATGTTATATTTCTTTAGCGATCAGCTAGATACAACGTCTTTTACAAAAAAGATTCCTAAAATACTAGTAGTTCAAAACATTTCGATTCGTTTATCTATACATGCAAATCTTGTTAATTTGTACTTCATTGTTCAATGCATTATAAGATTTGATAGTTGGATTCGTGAGTAAATTAAAGCTAGACCACCGTGGAAAACCTGAAAGCACCAGACGACTGTTTCGTCCTTGTAAGGGACTCTTCAACAGTGAGCATCCACAATGGACGGTGGCGCGATTTCGTGTATTGGTTGAAGTTAGACATTAACACCGTTGGATTGCGGTTCAGTGGTCCTGGGTTTGAATCTCGTGAGGCGGGTCAGTAAACGCCCACTGTTAAAGAGTCACATACTAGGATTAAACGGCCGTTCAATGCTTCCAGGCTTTTTATGGTGTTCTAGTTTCAACTGACTAATGAATTCAGATACTAAAATTACTGTAATATCCAAAAAACTCCTCTCTGATCATTATAAAATGTTTGAAAATTAACAAGATTATGACATACGGTGCAGGTATTTTATGACCATATAATGTGAAGTTTCTTCTGTGAAAATTCTTAAATGAAATAAACAACACATTTCTATATCAGAAAAAAACAACAAGAAATATGTACTGACAGCGTCCAAAGTAATTACAGTCAGATATCTGACGAAAAGAACGAACTTCAAATGATGCATCATTTATAGTAAGTTTGTGTTGAAAAGAGTATATTATATTCGACTCAAATCAGTTCTATTGAACTTATAACATTTCAAAATATGAGTTACAGAAAAATATTACATTAGGTCAATAAAGTTATTGCAACTGGGCTGAAATCACTACGAATTCAATCACCATTAACTTATATTCATATATGTTGTATAACTCAATGAATTGAATTTTTTAATTTAAAGAGTTTAGTCTCTCATTAAATTCTAAATGATACTCTCTCAGCAACTGTAATTTTTTTTTTGGTTACCAAAATGATCGTTTCGGAGCATTAAACAAAATAACAGGCAACGTTTTTTATGAAATCTATAGATTTATAATTACACATATAATTACAATTATTTCTTCTAACTAGAATTATTACCATTTGACATGCATAGTTTTATGGTATAATATATATATTGTAAAACCGTTAAAAACGTTCCATATCAATTTTCATTACCGATATCTATTCTGTTTTTTTAATATAATTAATAATTGGTTTATGAATGATCCCAGAAGATTTTGTTAATACAATAAATTTTGAATTAAAATCCATGCATCTGGATATAGAATATTATAAATAATTTTTCAACTTATACTCTGTTTTATTTCGTTTTTTTGTTCTTCTTTTTTGCCGTTCTTTTTTTTAGAAATGCAGAACGGTGATTAGAAGGTAAGGCGTTTTCTAATAAATTCAGTAAATTATTATCTTCTATAATTAAGTTAAATCAATTGTAAGTAAATTTCAGGATCATTATAAAATGTAATAATAATAGTAATTATAATAATAATAGTAATATATATAGCAGTTTATAAAGGAAAGTAAATTAACTACTATGACTTACAATTTTATTAATTTCATCAAAATTTATTGTGTCTAACTACCTAATGTACATCTTTTTCTTTTTAATAATATTACCAATCTAACAAAATAGCTTCTACATAAGTATCAGTCTAATAACAATTAATTCACCTTAAACATAACGAATATTTAGTTAGTGTGTATTAATTCATCAGATGCATGATACCAAAATACTTTTAGCACTACTTTAACAACTTCAAACTCTTAGAGTTTGATAATTTTCAGAAATTACATGCTGTATGACATTTCAATACATATGTGATTTTAAGCAGCTGATGAGTAACGACGAAATGTAGTGAATTCATATTGTTTTGATTCAATTAGTGTACTAACTGTATTCAAATTCTCATAGACTTACATATATTCACAGCGTAAATGATTGGTTTTTCATAGTAAGTTTGAATACCTAAGTACCCGAATAAGTACGTCAGAGGAAGAATGTTCATATATATATATATATATATATATATATATATATATATATATATATATATATATATATATATTCGCATATAAATGTCTTACTTACTATGCTACAATATTTTGTAACTGCTAATTCTCAGTTAATGTAAAAACCTTAGTTTGTTGACATAAAGTACCTTAATTAAAGTTTACAATATGTATCTCAACTAATTCCACTTTACTATGCAGTAATAATTATTGTAAGGATTTAGAAGGCAACTGACTAAAGTCTTATGATGGTTGGTACTTAGATATGATTAGGAAAGTAATGATTTTTTTAAAGCAGTTCAAATTTTCACAGCTATGTATGTTAATACACGGCTATTGAAACTGTGACAGAGTAATAATCAAGGCGATCAAGTCGTAATGTGATCATTATTTGATCGAAAAGTTTTGATCACCATTGATCAAGCACCAAAATACATCATTTACTGCTGGATTTAAAACCAGTGTATATATTTGGTAAATATTTGGAAAGAATGATCAATTGCTTTTGTAAGTGTAAATTAAAATGCCTAAAAGTACACTCACAAATAATCTAAACTTATTAAATTGAAATATGTTTAAGAGAAGTGTCAATAAATCAAATTAGTGATAAGTCATGATAACGTTATCCTATGAATATTATATTAATAAAGTATTTAACGTAATTGGACATTAAGAAGTCAATTATTATTTTCTGATTATGTTAACATGTAAGAGTATAAAAATGAAAATGATTATTAGTACATATTACAATTGTCAATGACTACGTAATCGTTGTTATCTAGTCTTAATACCTGGTGATGAACTAATACAAAAAAAAAACTGAGAAAAAGTACTTACGAAACAAAATAACATGGCTAAATTATGTGTTTCATATGATATCTGAACTTTACGAAAACTTGTTATTATATTGGAAAATGTCAAAATTAGAAAAAAAACCTTGCTGAGGAGTCCTATATTGGAACGAAAAGGCCATACATTGCTTCTAGGTTTTCAATGGTGGTCTAGCTTATATCAACTCATGAATTCAACAGTTAACACATTACAATCTTCATGAATCCCCAAGGTGAAAAATAAATATGATAATAAATTAAATTGTTCGTTTTTATTTATTGAAGTGAAAATAAAATTTGAAGCATCAAATTACCTATCCAGCAACATGATGATAGTTGGTATAAACTTGCACTCATAACATTTAATATTGACATTTCATTTAATTTGTTAGTAAAAACAAAGAAGTCTCTCTATCTATTGAAAAGGTCCTAATTAAAATATATAGGAAGATCGTGATTGAACAAACTATGACAAAACGTCATCACACGTTTCACCATTATGCATGACACTTTAAGTATTACATATGTATACCACCTTCAATTAGATAACACACTTTAATGTTAGCATTTAATGCATGCACATTAGAGAAACTGTAAATTGTTACGTTTGTTTCAAGTTTGTGGATACGTATTTCAGTGGTTTCTTTTGACCAAATCTATGTACATCAACATCAAAATCACAATAAATGATTGAACAGTTTTGCATTTTTTATATAGTAGTTCATCATAAATTTTGTTTTGCCATCCTATTGACTAAGAGAAAATGTTAGACTGAATTTTGAAATTGATCATAAAATCGGAGTTACTGTATTTGTGATTAAGCTTTCAAAGATATGTTCCTGAAGATTTTAAATCTTCCTAATCTTAACTGAACATTGTACACAGTCAGACTCATTCAATTCTTAGAATCAATAAGAAAT